TTTGTGTGGTGGCAACTTTAAATTGAGTTGTAAGCACTTTGGTCTCTTAACGCTCAACCAGCTAATGTTAGAAATGTTAGAAAGCATAACATTTCAGAGTGGTTTTATTTCATAAAACCCTTTGTATTCTTTGGTGGTTTGAGAGAATATTTGAAATGAAGCACTGAGATTAGCCTGTAGTTTGGAGAAAATGTTTTAACCTAATCTTCAGAACTTGATTTTGGTTGATGAGCAGAAGATAACATGTATACATTTGTGACTTTTCAGTGAAATAAATGAAGTGTACTTAAAGAGTCAGAAAGAAAATCTCTGACCCACTATTATGAACAAGTACTACCTAAAAAGAATGTTGTGAAAATTTAGGAACTTTGAACCACTACACAATTATACTTGCTACATTCTTTTTCTTTTTTCTTTTTTTTCAAAGAGAGGGACTGAGGGAGGGAGGAAGGGGAGGGGTAGAGGGAGAGAGAATCTCAAACAGGCTCCACACCCAGCACATGAGCCCAATGCGGGGCTCGATGTCATGACCCTGAGATCATGACCTGAGCTCAAATCAGGAGTTGGACGCTTAACCGACTGAGCCCCCTAGGAGCGCCCCCTTGCTGTGTTCTCATGTTCATTTCATCTTTGTCCAAGTCTGTTACTGCCAGTAGATTTTGAGTTATCTAGAGGCATGCATTTGTTTATCGTTTAATTCTCAGCATCTAGCATCTGCATAGTGAAGATTCATTTCGTGTTCATTGACAATATTTTTGAATGTCAACGTCATTGTTAAATCCAGGCACTGGGTGCAGGTGTCTGTGTATGAATCTGCATAGCTGCATGGAATTTGTCTGTTTTAACCTTTAAAGACTTCTTTTTTTTTTTTTTTTAAGATTTTATTTATTTGACAGAGAGAGACACAGCGAGAGCAGGAGCACAAGCAGGGGGAGTGGGAGAGGGAGAAGCAGGCCTCTCACCGAGCAGGGAGCCCGATGTGGGGCTCGATCCCAGGACCTTGGGATCATGACCTCAGCCAAAGGCAGACGCTTAACAACTGAGCCACCCAGGCGCCCACCTTTAAAGACTTCTAAGGTGATGCCTGACTGCCTCCCCCTGCCCCGCCCCCCCCAACATTTGAACTTAGCCAGTCATCATTCAGTTCTACCTTAAATTCGAAAATGGTGTCATTTGTATGTTTTGGGTTGGTTTTTTTTTTTAACTTAAGATGATACGTATATTTTCTTTTTACTAACGTTTTTGGGATTCTCTGCTTTTATGTCCTGCCATCACAATAGACAAAATATACCATAACATTTTTATTACTGTTTCCTTGTTCATAATGGTAGCATTTTTGTATTAAGTACAGAATTTTATTTTATTTTATTTTTTAAGATTTTATTTATGTAATCTTTGTACCCATCATGGGGCTTGAACTCACAGCCCTGAGATCAAAGTTGCACACTAACTGAGCCAGCCAGATAACCCCCAAGTACAGAATTTTAGAAAAATTAAGCGGGAAGAGCCAGAAAATTCTGCAAATGAAGAGCAATGATGGGGGGATGGTTAGATCAACTAGATATTAAAATATAATATCAAGCTTTAATAGTTAAAACCGTGTGGCACTGGCACATGAATAAACAGGTCAGTATATCAAAATAAATAGAAAGTGCTGAAAGAGATCTAAATGTATATGGAAATTTAGTAAGTTATCAGAAAGACATTTAAATCAGCAGGGGAAACCACAGTCCTAAAATGATATTGAGGCCACTTGGTAAACATCTGAAAGATATTAGGTTAGATCCTTTTCTTACACCTTACACCAAAATAAATTCCAGATGGAGCATAAGTGTAAATGTAAAATTATGAAACCATAAAAGTACTAGAAAAAAACATATGAATGTTTTTATAATATTTGAGTGATAGTGACTTTTTCAAAATTACATTGCAAAACCTCAGACACCATTTTTAAAAATGATGAGTTTGACCACTTATCAGATTTCCACCTGGTGAAAGAAAATGGCATAGTCAAAAGTCCCATAAACTAGAAAAGTAAAACATATTTTGCAAACTAAGGATGAATTTCCTTAATATATAAAGTTTTTCAAATAATAAGGTCAGAAATCTAACAACAGAGTGGGCCAACATTATGGGAAAGGAAATACAAATTGCTTTAAACATATGGAAAGCTTTGTGATGCAAATTAAAACCACAATGAAATGCCATTTCTCAGATTGGCAGAGATTGAAAGTTTCGATTGTACACTGTGTTGGTAAGGATGTGGGGAAGTGAACACTTGTGTCCATATGTTGCTAATGGAAATGTAAAATGGCACAACTTCTATGGAAAATAGTTTTGTGCTATAAAACATAAAAACCGTGACATGCATCAATTTCAATTCAAGGAATTTATCCTAGACATTATTCACAAATGATAAATGTCCAAGAATATATTTTCCCAAATGGTTATAACCATTTTAAACCTGCAGTATCCATGTTCTACATAGTCCAAATCCTTGCCAGAACTTGTTACTCGGTCTTTTTAATGTTAGCCATTCTAGTGGGCGTGCAGTGATATGTTATGGTTTTAATTGGCATTTCTGGTAACTGATGTTGAATATATTTTCAGGTGCTTATTAGGCATTCATCTATATTTGGTGCCTTTTTTTAAAAAATGGATTTTTTATACTTGAGTTGTTAAGTTTTTTTAATGTGTTTTGGATACAAATCTGTTTTCCAGTATATGTTTTATTAATAGTTTCTCATAGTCTTTGGCTTGCCTATTTATTTTCTTAATAGTTTTTTGAGTACAGTATTTAATTTTCATGAAGCCCAGTTAGTTGTTTGTTGTTGTTTTTTTGTTATGGTTAATGCTTTTTTGTGCATTAGTAAATATTTTTATACTCCAGGGTGAAGAAAATTTACTCCTTTTTTTTCTCTGTAGAAGTTTTATATCTTTAGCTTTAATGCTTAGCTTTTTTTCCCCTCAGCAGATTTCCAAATGGTCTATAACCCAAAACGAAAATAAAGAAGATTTAGACCCATTGCTTTAGACTGCTAGTTTTTCACATTTGTCAACAGGGTCAGCAGCACATCATGCTGCCACTTCCCACCAGTAGTAAAACAATTTCTGAATTAATGGATAGAATGACATTGCTTTTGATAAGATAGGTATCATTGAATATCAGGCTTTATTGTACCTACTAATTATGAATTCATCTCTAAAGAATCCTGTGTTAGGAATTTTCATGTTGGATGAGTACGTGGACCACCTGGAGCTGCCCCTTATGGATGGCCTTTCCTGCTCCAGGGTCGCCAGGCGTCAGCAATGCCATGAACAGTCTGGGCAGGTCAGGGTCAGGCACCCGAGTTCTAGTCTCCCTCCGGTCATGCTCTCTCTCTTAGCCAGCAAGCATTCCCATTTCATCTAGAATATAGCCCGAAACATGGATTTTGAGGCCTCACGGAATCTGTCCCAACCTACCTTTCCATTTCTGCAGTACCCTATTTCCTGTTCCTCGGGGTGATCTCATACCAGGCCCCACTCTGTGTCCTCGTTTATCTTGTTCCCTTCATCTAGATTATTCTCATTCCTTTTCATCCTGCCCTAGACTTAACTCCAGTCATCTGTTAAATCCCCAGTAAAACTCCTCATCCCCCTTGACCTCTCTCCCAGCCTCTCCGGCAGGAGCTGGTTCGCATACACTTTCTTCAGTTATGCTCTCCGCCATTCACTTGTGGACTTCTGGATGCTTCGAGTGCTGGGAGGGTGTGGTGTTCCTTGTATAGCTGAGTGAGGCTTCATATAGTGACCTGCACAAAGCAGGCAGGTTAGAGTGCCTGTCTGATCAAAAGGTATGTAACAGTGCTGGGTCTCTAACAGCAGTACTCTTTGTAAAGGGTTTTGTGCTAGACCGTGTTTTTCAAACTCTGAGGTTGTGACCCACTTGCTGTTTGTAAAAGCAGTATTTATGGTTCAAGAGCATCATTGAAAAATGAAATGGAGTAGGATAGGAAACAAAAGATTACATAACATGGGTAAGCATTCTATGTAAAAGGTTTGTTTTTAGTTCTTTATTTGCATATATGTTTGCTAGGTTGTGATGTAAAGTGTATTTCTTACTATGGGTTGTACTAAAGAGAGTTGGAAAATACTACTGGATTTTAACCTCCATAATGAATTTTGAATTTCAAAAATTTAAAGAAGAGATATTTGGAATTTTAATTAACTTTGATGCTTCTGAAAATTTTCACTGAATGATTTCACGTAATTTGTGCCATCCCCTGTTGATTGTCTACCAGATTACCTGTAGGCAAATGATTTTTTTCTTCAGCATCTAGTGTATAGTCTTCGTTTTAGATTTGGAGTACATAATTGGGTTATAAATATATAAATCATTTTTGCTAAATGGCATTTTTGAAGAAATTTGAGAGGATTATTATCATAGAAGTTTACCCAAAATTTCTGTAATGATTTTTAAACTTCTCTTAATTTACATTTACCAGTTTAGATTGTTCATGAAAGTTTCTTGACAAAACAGTACTTTTTAATACATCATCATGGAATGAGTATTATCAACTGAGTCCACAAATGAAAACATCCTGAAATCCCATTTTGGAAAAGAAGTTTGCTCCAGATGTAAATTGTAATGCTGTCATACGTGGAAAGACATTTCACTTTGATTTCAAAACTGGGTATTCTCTGCAGTCAGTTCAGCAAGAATCATATATTAAATATTTCTTCAAAACGAAAGTAGAAACCCGAATCTTCCAGATCAATACAGGCATCACAAATAGTGATGCATTACTTTTAGAGAGCTTTTGAATCAAGTGTGCATTCTTGGGATGGGGAAGCATTTCCTAGAGTCGCTTAGTATTTACAAGAAAGCTGTTTCTGGTTGACTTTGTTTAAACTGGTGATTAAAACCTTTCCTAGAACTCTGGAGCCTTGTAACCAGGAAGTTACTGTGTTTGTAATGCCTGTGTTTTTTTTCTTTTTTTTCCTTCACTTCTCTTTAGGGTCAGTATAGACCTTCTGATTTGTTGTGTCCTGAGACGTATGTTTGGGTGCCCATTGAGCAGTGCCTGTCTTCGCTTGATAACTCCAAGTACTGCCGTTTCAACCAGGACCCAGAAGCAGGTATGTTCAGAGCAGAGCTCTGCCAGAAATCGTTGACAGTGTTTTTAGGTTCCAAGTATGTGGTGTGTGTGTGTGTGTGTGTAGCTTTTTATCTATTGTAGAATGTGCATGAGTGTGTGCGTGTGTGTGTGTGTGTGTGTCAGCGTGTGACAGGATGATAACATGTGTGCACGCTTACAGCACTCTCACTTTGGGAAATAAATGCAGAAACCTCCTGTGCTTCTGCTCCCTACTAACCCATCTTCTTCTGTTACTATTGTTATATGCTTTGAGGGCTGATACCACTTTCCATTTCTTTTTACAACTATCACAGTGCATAAAAACAATTGCTCACTAGATTGTTTAGCTAAGGTAAAGAAGATAGAAATACTGACCAATTGGACTAAATAAAGTTGTGGAATGGTTTCCTGAGGGCCAACAGGCTGGGATGGGTTTTGTGAAAATGCTTTCTTATTCTTCGTGTGTGTCTGTGTGAGACAATACTTTGTTGACTTTCTTCGTACATCTCTGGTGCTTCTTCTTTTTTGTCCCTTCTTCCACCTCCTACACAGTAGAGCCCTAGCCGTATTTGATCTCCTTAGTATTCCCCATTTGGATACTCTGTGCACTAGTAGTAGGCACAGACACTAAAAGTATAGCCCCGGGGTCAGACTTCCTGCATTTGCATCCTGGCTCCATCATCAGCCTGTAAATTGTGGCCCTTAGGCAATTTCATCATCTTCCTGGTCTTCAAAATTAAGATAATGATAGAACCTACCTTCTTGAGCTGTAGTGAGGATTAAAGTAAGACAAACATGCTGAGAATAGTCCCGTATTACTGCTGAGTTGGTGGTTGCTAGGCAGATTAGCCCCCTGGATCCCGTATCCTGTGCCACAGGCTTTCGTCTGCATCTGCCTTTATTTGGTCTGATTCTTGTCTCCAAAAAAATGGGCAATTCTACTCACCTCCCTTTTGTCTAGACCCCCCTCAGTTTACAGCAGTCTCCCTCTACACAGCCCTCCTCACCCTGCCTGCGTTCTGCTGAGGCTTTGTTCATCACATGTGAGTTGTGATGCTCTCGTGATGGGTTGCATCAAGTTCCCCTGCGTGTTTTTCCTCAGACTGAAGTTCCTGGGTGTTCCTCTGTGTGCTTCACTGAGTTCTGACTCCTCCCAGCCCACCAGAGGAGATGCCTGATGCACCATTAAGAATAAAATATTTTTTATCTAGTCACCTATGGTCTAAGCTTGGAAAAAAAAATCAGAAAAGAGAAGTGGAAAGACCAGGGGAGGGGAAGGGAGTAAATGGAAAAATCAAATAGGAAGACAAAAGGGACAAGAAAAGAAGTGCAGTAATTTCTTCTGTTCTAAGATGTGCATTCCCCCCGCCCCGTCAGGTTTTTTCTTACAAAAAAATTGGTTCATGTTCCATTGTATTTTGGTATCTCCTTGAAAAGCTGTTACGAAATCAAGAGGGGGCACTTCTTACACATGATGATAGCTTAAAATCTGATGAAGATGTGGCCTTGGAATCCACCTGACTCCTAGGCCAGGCACCCCAGGGTCACCCCCAGATTTCCTAGATATTTAGGTTCATAGAGCAACCATGGCTTTATAGTTCTTGCACCTTCAGTTGTTAATCAGGATTCCATTCTTTGTTTCTAAGTGAAATTACACCTGACTGATCAAACAGATGTGTTGCTTAAAAACAGACCTATTGAATTTGTCAACTAGTGTTTGAGTCAGGCTCAAAAGGAAAAGCAATAATAAGCAGTTTAGAGGAAAGCATATACTTAATCCACTGTCCCTTCAAAAAAGATTTTTTTCCGCTTTTAGCAAATTTTCTCCAGGGTGGCTCAGAGCCATTCCCTTACAGTGAAAACTGCTAACCATCTTCACTGTATTATTTCATGTTCATATACAAAAATTTGTAAGTTCCTTCCAACTAAATAATATGATCATGAATTGGTTTCTGACTCCCAAACTTAAGACACAGGTTTCACCTTCCCCCTTTTTCTTTCTTTTCTGATCTGTTTTAAAGTTTCCTTCTTTTATATAATACCTGGAAATTAAGGCCATCACAGGCTTTCCCTGTTCTATAAAGTTGAAAAGGTAACTGAATACTTTCCATGCACTGAATGGACATTCAAGTAAAGATTCATTCATGTTAATAGGTTCTAAATTTATTTTCCAAAGTAAGTATAAATGAGCATTTCATGGCAAAATTTGAAGTCTCGTTTCGATGGTGTGACCGTGGTGAGTGAAGAGTATGTAGCATGCTCTCCTCCTGTAATCTATTAAATTACTTTTCTTACGGCACAAGCTTTAGCTCTTAATATTCATTGTTTAGAATTCATTTACAAAAGTCAGAGGAGTAAATTTCTCCAAGAATAGTGCTTCAAAGAAAAGGAAGATCCTTTTCCATATGCTGAATCTTTGCAACTTTCAAGAGAACACCATACAGTTTTATCAGTATTGAATATCACAGTCCAGACACTATTTGAAATCAGACTTCTATCCTGTGGTTTTAGGAAATTAAAATGCAGTTACATGCTGGAGTGTATTGAGCATGCTGTGAAACATGGTCATTTGAGATTTAAATGGCAATCTGTGAGAAACTGTTCTCTTCTTCTCTTGGGCCAGTTTTACTCTTACATGACCCAAACTCTGACTCAGACAAAATACAGAGCTTAATATGGACACCATTGTTAGTCGGCATGGCGCTTTTTTTTCCCCACTAAATCTTGTTTCTCCTCCCAGCTTTTCAGTAGTTAAATTGCTCTACAGAAGGCACAGCTGATCACCACAGGTCCCTGTAAAACAAAGCTTGGCTACAAGGTGCATGGGGGCCACTTGTAAGAAAAATTACATTTCCCTCTATCCTGAATTGATGTAAGCCTCTGGAAATCCTATTCCTCCCTGCCCTTGACCTCCCCCTCCCCCACCTCCCACATTTTGGAGGTTTGGGTTATATGGTTATTTACCTAACTAGGAAGTCTGCAGAATGATAAAAGCCTGTTGTATTTACTGCTTTACTGTATGGTGGGGGGGAGGGAGGGGCTGACAAACAGAAGCCACGTGAAAAATTCTAAAGACGTCCCTTTGTTCACGAATCGGTCTTTTGTTTTTGAATTCAGGACCTCTGCTGACTCTAAAGAAAGGATTTTAGAGGGTTCTCACTTGATTTTTAAGTAAAACTCTGTTAGATTGCTTATTAAAATGATAGTTGGATATGTATAGAATTCAAAAATTCTTCATCACAGTTACATTTTGCTTTTCTTGTTTTAAATTATCTTTTAAAAATGTTTACTGCGAATAGTAGTAGATTTATCCAAATGCATAAAACCGCTGGTAAGAAGAAATTGAAATGACCCTCTCATCTCTCTGTACAGCAGTAATCACTTTTTTTGTTTTTATGCTCTCCATCTGATCTTTTTTTCTCTGCATACCTCTGTGTACATTTTTTTAAAAAACAGCAGGAGTCATCCTTCACACTTTTGTTGTTGTTTTTACTGAATGCTCTGTGTTGCTTCTTCCTTTTAGTAAGGGAAAAAACTACTTGACCACTGATCTGGGGTTTCAGCGGATAAATGCCAGTAATTGGGCGATAGGCTGTGTCCAACACAGATATTTACAGACGGCATTGACAGAGTAAACCAGATGTTTTGGAGTTGGTTTTAGAACCATGATAAATTATGATTTGATTTGACTCTTAATGTTGTGCAGGTGTTGTACTATTGTTGGTAGTAAAATCCTTTTCCTTCCAGATTTATAACAAATGACAACTTCACCGAGCATATATTATTTTCAAGTATCATCCTATGGTTTCTCCTGGGTGACCTCAGTTGATCCTCAGAACATGATGGAATTTTTCGTCACTGACCCCCTCAGATATCATTTATTGGGAAAAATACCAGCAAATACTTGTTTTTAATCAGAGATTTAAAATAACTTTAGTTCAAATATTGCTCTCTCATTTTTATAAGTAGCTATTTTTAGTATTGACTTCAAAGGAGCTAATTAGAATGGTCTTTATTCTGTCTCTACTGGTAATTACAGCTGTATAGTCATTTTTACCACAGATTAGTCTAGATTTCACTCCCTTTTCTGTACATACTTTGAAATGTTTGTAAGAAATTTTCTAATTTGTTTGTCATAATATTAGTAAGGTTATTGAATTTAAATTTACCATAAAAATAATGGCATCTAGTTTTATCTTAGTGCTTTATGCATTTACCCAGGTTAGAGAATTTCTAGGACATTTTATGTCTTCCCAGCCAGTTAATGAAAATCCAAGTGTAAGGAGCTTTCTTCTGGTTTGATCCCCTGAAGTTCCAAGGCTCTAGTCTGTTATTTTATGTTGTTTCATTTGTCTCTTTACTCCATTCTTCTTTCTTGCCGGCATGGTTCCCTGGAATTTTTCTGTACTTTTGTAGTCTCTGTCACATATGCCCCTGGAAAAAGCAAGTCCCACTCTGACCGTGTGTGAAATAATCAGGTTCAGAAAGAGCTCTGACCTATATTTGCTCACCTGGTTTCTCCAAGCCTGGTATCACTTCCTGAATACTGTGTTCATGGTCCCTCAAAAGGGCATACCTTAGCCACAGTGTCACCCTGATCACTGGGAAATAATACATAATGAGAAGGCAGATTTACCAGAACTTCCAAGGACCCCTAAAAATGTGCTGCAGTGGTAACTTATAATTAAGTGGACAGTGTCTTTCTTTATTATAGGTAAGAATTAAGCTGGCTTTGAGGTTGACCTCCCTACTTTGGTAGTGATTGTTGGATACTTAGGAAACATATATTCTTTGTTGCCAGTAAAGATGGTGGTCCTGGGATGTGTAGCCAGGTAGAGAAAGAACCACTGTCTTTGGAAAAGTGGCTTTTATATTTGGTGACTCTGGAGATGTGTTTTGATGTGGAAAATATAAAAAGTTACAGTCTTTTTTTTCTTTTAAAGATTTTATTTGTCAGAGGGAGCACAAGCAGGGGAAGCGGCAGGCAGAGGGAGAAGCAGG